CCATTTTTTTACATTAAAAGTAAGAACTAAATATATCCTCAAACTGATAAAAATGTTTTTACGTTGGTTAAATTTGCAAAAATCTAGACGATTTGGTAATTTCTGTTGTCTAACACTATTCCCCCAGTACTGTTCAGATACTGGCGTCTCTCTGTTTTTCACCGGCAAATTAGGGCATATAAAGAAGGTATATAAGCATAAAAAGTAAACAGAAACACTAATGGTATTTTCATACATTTTATTTTGTACAAATAACACACAAATGTACTACTTGATGGTGCTAGAAATTCGTGACGTAATCACTTTAATGATAAATGAGATGATTGTGTGTGAGGCTAGAAATTTATTATAATTGTCATTGACATTATTTAATTGTTGCTGAAGATTATTATATACAAATTATAAATATCTAGTAATTCTGCAGTGGAATTGCAAGAAATGCATTGGCATTGCGGGGAAGTTGGAGTGTTTGTAATTGTTATCGTTATTTCTTTGTTGCTAGGTCCGGTCGATCAGCTGCCACCATACGATGTCGTGAGAGCTGGCATGCGAGCGTAGCTGTCACAAGCCTCTGTAGATCACGTCTGCCATGGTTGCGATTGTTGGCTGTTGGTGAAATGTTTGCTTGCATGCCTCAACCCAGGACACGCCGTTGAGGCACCAATATATCCCGCGTAGAATTGGGAATGCTATGAGTTTGGATTTGTCGTTTCTGTACAGACACTGTTGTATCATGGTGTATATTAAGAGTAATTGTTATGATGCATAATAAATGACTAAATTAATGTATATTAGTGAATGATTGTGTTTTCATTTATTTGAATGTTTTTTTCATGTGTAAGACCACACATTAAAAGCGTCAACATGGTGCTTTAAATTTTGAGTTTATATTTTTGGACGTCGGCTACAAATGTGTTATAAAGCATGCACGCATGTGCTAAATACGTGAAAATATACAATTGTCAACTTCACTTGTCAGCAATAATGTCTTTTACAATCATTATAGAAAGCTACCTAACAGTTTCCCACGATTCGATTCTTAGACTGCCCCATTTTCGTTGTGGCAAACTAATTTTCCTTGCTCGATTCCGTGTTACAACCATCATAAACGTTTTTACCAATGATGGCGCCACTAGTCCTATCGCCACGGTAACGTGATGTTCTAATATGGCTTCCTTATATACAAATTAAATATATAAAAACAATAATTACACTAAATAAATACATGCATTGTCAAACTCGACTCTGGTCTTTCCCGTTCCTATCTCCTTTGCCCTTTCGTGACCTTGCCACCTATACATAGGCTCTACCCTCTGCTTCCCTCACGTACTCCATGTAGATACATCCATGTAGTCATACCTCCGTGTATATTATATGCTAGATACAATAATGTAACCCAACGAGACTAGTTTGATTACCCTTGGGTCGCCCTACTCTTGTTGAGTTACATTTTTGTATCTAATTATATGCTAAGTGGCTAGGTCAACTGGGTATGATCAGTACTATATACACAAACACGCGCACAACTCTATTTACATATCATATCTCAAACACGACATGTAGCGAGTGTATCATATCGTAAATGCTGGAGTTAGTAGATGTATAGATATACGAGGAATGGCAGCATAAAGCTGGGGTTTACACTACCAACTTTGTGTTGGCGAATTGGCAAATTGGATCAACTTTCCAACTGTACAACTAAACCGACAATCGGCAGTGTAAACACAAAAGTTGCACGACCAACCGATCGATAGCAACTAATTGTGAGATTAGAACATTGGAAGTTAGGAAAGTTGGTCCAACTCGCTAATTCGCCTACATAAAGTCGGTAGTGAAAACCCTTCATAACACAGCCGCCATGTTCCTTGGCCACGTTATATTTAGGCTATTCAAGCTGCTACTCATTAAAGCAGGGGTTCTTAACCTGTGGTACATGGACCCCTATGGGGTCCGTGGATAAGCATGTAGCCAGAGGTAAATTTTGTAGGAGGCAAATGTTGTGAGTTAAAGAACAAGGCGCGAAGCGAGCCAATAGGGCGTGGGGTATGGGGCCCGCTTAATTGTTTTTTGGAGAAATTTTGTAGGAGGCATTTGCCTCCTATTGCCTAATGGTAGCTACGGCCCTGTCCGTGGATGGGCTTCAGGGGGTCCGTGGATGGGCTTCAGGGGTCCGTGGATAGGCTTCAGGGGGTCCGTGGATGGGCTTCAGGGGGTCCGTGGATGGGCTTCAGGGGTCCGTGG